TCGTCCAAGAACCATTGATCATACATTTTCGGGAGTCCATTACCCGCAACCATTCCCATGTCCCGTCCCCCGTCCATCCATCCCAACAATCCCATGACTCTTAACAAGATTGAAGCCAAAACAACTTTGCTCACAGCAAGAAACTTTCATGCTCATGTCCCAGTCGATTTCTCGTCCGGCCCCACAAGGCTGAAATCGGAAAAGTAGCTTCACATACAAAAAAGTTGCTTTTCATGTCTACCCCAACTTGCGTCCTGCCTTTTGACACTTTTCCAACTCAACAGATGCTTCTACATACCAAGTCCTGACATACTTGCCCCAGCCAGTCCCTATCCCAGGAGTCCCTTAGGGTGTCTAAAAACAAAAGACAGTTCACCCCAGCTAGTCCACTAATCCGATGTCCTTTTAATTCCCAATCAAGCCCCTACCCAGCCTTAGTCATCTTGCCCTTAGTTCCTGGTACCCGAATCTGTTCTCTAGCGCTTAGCCCCCCCGTCATTGGCGCTCCCTAGGGGTGGCTCCACGCCCAACCCATAGGTCCGGATCTCATCTAATTTCCCCTTGATTGCGTGCAAGGTCTCCTCCTTAAGGAAGTCCAGTGGTGTGACTGCCTCCCCGACTGCCATTAGCCTTCGCGCCTTAATGATCCAATCGTGCTTGATGACACTGACCCATTGTTCAAACCAATGACTGGGTGTCGGTCCAAATTCGTTCTCCCAGTTGCGGACCTCCTTCTGTGGTCCGTTCGTGGATGGCTGCCCCTCTTGCCTTGGCCTTGATATCTCATCCCCCTCGTCTTCACTGGCAGACGACACAGTGCTCTATTTCTATCCAGCGGACAACGTCTGTGAAATCAGAAACAGTATAAGGGTTACAATTGTATGCAAGGAGACATACATTAATAGCATAGTACACACAGCGGCCTCGCTGCAGCGCTATGACATCGTCCGATTCCACAGGTTGCCCGGGAGATTTGTTCACGACAGGGGGAGATTCCTTCAATTCTGCAGATTGCACAGGTGGCGGAGACTCATTGCGGCCTTGATCAATTAGCTCTAGTATGCGCTCCGGACAGAGATGATCTTCAATCGGGGCCTCCATCAGGTAATCAGAAGATGGGTCATTGTCAGGTGGATGAGAGAGGGGCGGGTCAGGGGGGTGAGAACTGGGTGGACCAGATGCGGGAAGCGGAAGCTGATCAGCCGCACTTGTGCTCAGAGCGGTTGCTAGTCGCGCAAATGCTGCACAAGTAGCTGCACCTCATGTCTGGTCCACACGTAGGCCAGCAACACTAAAGAAATCATCAGACTCGACATGTACTATTCCTGGCTAACGTGTATCAAAGGAAACTTATAAGACATTGTAGAGGAGGAAAAAGATTGTAATGGGAAGGTAACACCATAGTCCAGGGTTTTAGGCCCGTCGGCTCAGCTCGGGGAGGCTGCCGACGTCCCTTGCAAGAGGTACTTGCCACAAAGTTGTCCAAGCAATGGCTCGGCTAATAAGCAGAACGCCTCCACCTGTGAGTGTGCTATGGGCAACTGGCCCAGATGCCGGGCACAGCAGGAGTAGGTATTCTGTTCGGAGGAGGTGTCCGATCATCACCTGGAACTCTGTATACAAGTTTTATGTCAAGGAGAACGTCCAGCAAGGGCGAGACGAGTAGGAGTACTCCGCACCTGAGTTTGGCACACCTTGGGTGGGGAGCTACACTCACTGCGCGGAAGGAAAGGGCAAGAAACCGCGCCCTTACGATGACTGCCACCACAGGACATGGACTCCTGTCGCAAAACCAAAAGGTCAGTCACATAGACAAGGCAAAAGCAGCCAGGTTAGTTTAATTCAGGTCTGTTTCAAAGCATAACATAACCGAAATCATAGCACCAAGTGAGACAGACAACGGACCCAAGGCAGACTCACATTTCTGGATGGGAGAAGTATCGCTGCAGCGGTACAATTCATTCCACCATGGTATGCGAAGCACTTGCATTTGTCCGGGCCGTGTATGTGTGTGTGTGTGTGTGTGTGTGTGTGTGTGTGTGTGTGTGTGTGTGTGTGAGAGAGAGAGAGAGAGAGAGAGAGAGAGAGAGAGAGANTGTGTGTGTGTGTGTGTGTGTGTGTGTGTGTGTGTGTGTGTGTGTGTGTGAGAGAGAGAGAGAGAGAGAGAGAGAGAGAGAGAGAGAGAGAGAAGTTGGGTACTCTACCTCAATTCTTCCAGTGCATAACTCTGCCCCTATCCTGCCAGATATGGGGCTGAGATCTGGCCAAGAGCTCTATTGTCAGCAACTGGAGTTTTAGGGGCTGGACTGGAGTCTTCAGCAACAGAGCCACCACACTCAGCATCTCAGAAAGTCAAATGGGAGGGACCCCTTCTTTTCCATCAAAAAGCATGTGGCATGTTATCACGCTTACTATGTATGTACTACTCCATAGTCCGTAGCTATATAGTGTTCACGTCCAACGACTTAATCATCATTTGTAGGTGGCTCTTACTATCACTGCAAAGTCTGCAATTTTAAACCACCAGTACTTGGCCCAGCTATCGGCCGTGGAAAAAAATAGAGTAGAAACGTTTCTAGTCGGATGAATTTGGGCGCTCCTGTAGTAGCCCGTAAGTTTCGTAAAATCGTGGCGCGTTAAGGCTGGACTCTAGGAAGTACTGGTGATTTAATAGTGTTCCCTTCCAGACATTATGCACAGGGTGATATCATAAACATCAACGATAAGTTTCAAAATATTGAGGTGTGCAATATAAAGATTTTGGCAATGCCCCTTCACCACTCCGCAGCTGAAAGACTCCCATCATTCGGCTGTTGAGCGGTGAAGGTGCATGGACATGGATGGACGGATGGATGGTCAGATGGACCAATGGTGGGAATGAGGGAGAGCGGGAAGGAGGGAAGGAGGGAAGGAGGGAGGAGAGGCCAGGGCGGTGGATGGATGGAGGGACGAGATGGGAGGGGGGTGGATGGATGGAGGGAGGGACGGAGGGAGGGAGGGAGAGTGGGATAATAGAATCGGGAGAGCGTACCTGTAGCACCTTATCTTGAATGCAAAAGGCAGCAGCTGTGCGGATATAGGTAACTGCTTCTCCAGCTACCTTGCTTGCGTGCTCATAACAGTGCTCTGTCTCTATGGAAAGGCCTCTTAAGATCAAGACGTGGGCAATCCATGGGGCCACAAGAAAAGGGTAAACGGCTATAGCGACCAGAGCAAGCTGCCAATTCTTGGATAGACCGATGATAGCCATTGCAGTAAATGTAGCTGTGACCTGAACCACCGGACTGTAACGATCTCCCACAAGAGCTCTTGCCATGGCTGCATCGCTTGCCAGCATAGCTGAGAGGGCTTCCTTTGAGTTTTCCGCCTGCTCGAACCAGCCTACCTGCCGAGAAACATGTTTTTTGCCACTGTCAAAAGACGCACTTTTCTCAAAATAGTATCACAGAATAGTGATTTTGTTAAAATTAAGGTGTTCGGAGCATAGCTACGCCGGACTGGACTCCGGACCGAATCCGGACCCCGGACCCCGGACCCCGGACCTCCCGGGTCCATCCGGACTTCCGGAAACCCGGAAAATTCCGGGATATCCAGACACTTCCGTATGTCCTGTCCGGATTGCACTATTTTCCGGGGGGAGGGGGGAGGGGGGAGGGGGCATACATTAGGACTTCGTAGGTGGA